TTGATAAAAACTTTTTAAAAGAATTTCCCCCGTACCTTTTGCCTATTTGTAAAGTTCTAAAATTACGTGTAATATTCTGTGGAATAAGAGCGATGATGATCCTTCGGCTTCAAATAAAACACCTATCTTCTGTTCCCCTTATTTTCTTCAATCGGTACAAACTTGTATTTCTCTTCTAATCCTACTTATAACGTCTTCAAAAAAAAAAAGTACAACTCTGTGGGTCATTGTTAGCCTGAGCAGTGCACTGTGGCCGAATGGTTAGCGCGCCAGTTTTCGCGCAAATGCTCGCTGGTTCGAATTCGGTGGCACTGCCCTATGACGAGATTTACACGACGGTCTTCTGAAGTCTTATCTGTAGACGCTTTACGTGTGCTGAGGCAGATTTTTAAAGTTATGATATTACCAACGAACAAATTACCTTCAATGTTGAGAAAACCGAAGTGTTTGGGTGCACTATTCGAGAGATGAGCTGCGGGAAAGCGGTGTAAAATGTGTATGAATCCAGCTGCCGAAAAGCTTTCGAAATTTCTGTATTCATCTACAAAAGATCTCCTGCTAAACTACGATAGATAAAGTTTCTTCAAATCTTTGAATACCTGAGCAATGTCGCTGTTATCACGATGATTCATCTCGATAGAACGAGCATCGGAACCTCGTGTTTGCATCGTTTCGGTCAAAAATCGAATTCCAATTATTGATTCATCCGTCACTTCACTTGCAAACTAACCTTTTTCTGACTGACATCCAGCCAAATCGTTAACATTCTCGGCATCGCGTGGAACAAGTGATTACGACCAAATCGTAAAGCATTTGCGTAAGATTTCAAGATGTTCGCTACCAGGTCACTCCGAACCTTCAAGGAGAAAAAAGAGTAGATTTTAATGCGAAAATGGAGGAGAAAAAGTGGATCAGGGAATGTATATTGCGAAGTTTTGTAGTTGACTCAAGCCCTCAGCGCACATATAATGGTAGCCAAGCTTAGTACTTTTGCTTAAGGAAAACAATCGTCACATGTTCAATCTTGAAGTGCATTAATCTTTACTTAGAAGATGCAAAATCTAGAATCATGTCTCGTTCGCAATAGAAAACCAGTTCGCTATTTTTGTGCTTCACCAATCTAGAAAGTTGGGATTTTCTATTTTTATATGATAAGGCAAACCTTTTCTGTATCGATGCTGTACATTCCATCACAGAAGACCGCCACACGATAATGCAGATCTTCTGAGGGAACGTCAAACTTCTGCAGAGATAAGTAGATCTGATACAAATCATTTGCTGCCACAGCTCCAGACTTTAGCATGTACTCCGCTCGCAAAAGTTGCACCTAGCATGAAGAGAAGGTCTGTTTTTTCAAACAATTACAAATTGAGCATTACTTACCTCAGCAAAGGCAGCTCTCGATTCTCTACTAGTCTTTTTCACTAAAACATCTGGAGATTCAGCATTACTTTTACCGCCGGTTTCATGCCAATGAACAAAACTTGCAAATAACTTGTTCATGTCGGCAAATTTCGTAGTAAGTAGTTTTGACAAAAGTCCTATTGCTTGAGATTGATTGCCCTAAACGTGACCCAAGCTGATTTTGCGAAGAGCAAGCTTAGATGGAAACCTTGCCTTTTGAAACTCGAAGCGTGCCTCTTCCATTCCAACATCCTTCAGATTGACACCAAGTGCCTTTGCTTCTACTAAGAACGTCCAGGCGATTTGAAGGTGGCCCGATTGACGAGCCAAGCGACAACTCTTCAAGAAGATTTATTGGACAACATTTATATAGAATTCAATATATGTTTCAATAAAAGAGGGCACCTTGCTGTAAACATTCAATGTTCAAATTTCAGTCAGCAAAGATTGCCAAAGATCCGATTTTCAA